ATTTGGTTAATGTGTCAGTCTTTAATTGTTTAAAATAAAAATATCACAAAAGAAAACGAAACAATCTTCATATCTGTATCATATTACAGAATAAGACACATATAACCAATATATAAAGAATCTTTTACAAATTAGGAACTATTTGGTTAATGTGTCAGTCTTTAATTGTTTAAAATAAAAATATCACAAAAGAAAACGAAACAATCTTCATATCTGTATCATATTACAGAATAAGACACATATAACCAATATATAAAGAATCTCTTACAAATTAGGAACTATTTGGTTAATGTGTCAGTCTTTAATTGTTTAAAATAAAAATATTATCACAAAAAAAAACGAAACAATCTTCATATCTGTATCATATTACAGAATAAGGCACATATAACCAATGTATAAAGAATCTTACAAATTAGGAACTTTAAATTATCAAAACAAAACGTACTTATTACATAAAAATAGTCATGACTATACCATAATAATGCACATAAATATAACCTTAAATAATCTTTACATTTCTGGTAGTGGCGCTGTAAAAACGTCCATAATCATTTTTCTTCTTATATTTTTTTCTCTTTCTGGAACATTGTTAAACTGTATTTTTATAAAATCCATGAAAGCATCATCTGCTGTCATAGCTTTCTTTTCCATATAAGCTGAAATCCTATGATTCATTTGAACTAATGATTGCTCTAACTCCTTCGTTTCGTCAACTTTCCATTTCTTCATTTTTGGTGCAATATTTTCTTTATTAAAACGTTTAAACTTATCGAAAAGCTGCTTATTTACATTTTCATTTTCTTCACTGCTTAATGCATTTGCAGCACTTTGTGACTCGTTACTTCCTTCATCAACTATAAATGGTTGAGATTTTGCGTAATTAGTGTAGCTTCTAGAATAAGCATATAAAAAATATATTAAAGCAAATTTGTTCAAAGAATTAATTCCATATAAGTTATTTTACCTGCGTCTTTGAATAACACGGTCTAAAAATGCTAACTGCGTAAAAAAAGGAAATCGAATAGCCTTAGTAGCACCACTTCCACTTTTGGATTCAATTTCAATCTTTCTTTTTCTCTATTGTATTGGTCTCTTAATGCGGTACACCTTTTTTGGCAGTACGAAGGATTATACATGTCACCTGAGCAGAAAAATTTTAGACAAAAAATAAATTTATACATGTATATTATCACTTATTATATTAAAATCCGTAATTATAATAAATAAAATTTAATATTCACCACAAATTTGAGTCATTATTTTAGATATCTCAAGCCAAGCATTTTGCTTCATTAAACAATCTTTAAAGTTAATATTACTTTTATCGTATAAAAATGTACGTTCTCTGTATAATTCGATGAGAAGCTCATCACCCTTCTTTTCTTCAATATTAATGTCAGTATAATCTTCTGTATTGATTTCAACAGATGAATCACTAATATTACAATATTTTAAATGATCAGACATATTTCTCAATCAATCAAAGTTAGTAGAACGTTAAGTTAAAAGTAATGTTCTGCCTAAAAAACAAATTAAAAATTAGAAAAGACCTTTGCGTTGACTTACATACTTCTTTCTAATTAATATTGATTTAGTCATACAGCATATAATCATAAAATTGCACTAACCTACTAAAGTAGCGATCCTCTAAAGAAAAAATCCTCAGAAATGTGCATAACACAAAGACGACGTCCTATTTAAAAACCTTGAGAAACGGTTAAACTAATTCCGTCCTAAAGAAAGAATGTAGAAATAATGATTTTAAAAATGTGTTAAGGACATTTTTTGTTAGTAATTAACAATGTACATACATACTTCGAAAAATATTGGTTAACCTCTAAAATAATAATTACGTACTATTATGATTATTTTAGGAGATGGAAACAAATATCATTATATCTTTAAAAATAAATCTATTTTTATTTTGTTTTAGTGTGTATATATTTCCTTATTAACTATTAAGACGTATAAACGTGCATTAATATTACTCACCTCGTCGCTCTGACACACTTTACCGACCATTCCAGACCAGTCACGACTACGACAGCTACTGCCTGTATAGTGTGGAAAAAATTTTTCAAAAATGTATTTTGAAAAATTTTTTTCAAGCGAAATCAAAGCGAACACAGCCTAAGAGGCGCTGTCCGCAGTATATAAAGGACAGAACGATAGGCTCTGAGGCGCTATCTCTGTCATTTGCCGGTCTAGTGGGGGAATCGTATGACTATTCCCCTCAACTGCTAAGGCTCGAGCCCCGGCGCGCGGCGCCCCCGGCGACATCATACGATTCCCCCACCAGACCGGCAAATGACAGACAGCGCCACAGAGCCTATCGTTCTGTCCTTTATATGCTGCGGACAGCGCCTCTTACAGACTGCTGGGTTTATCTGGGCTGCATAATGCATAGGCATAGATGGG